TATATATATGTTATAGCCACCAAACGTATGTGTAAATGATTCATTAAGCACTAGTTGTAATATACCAATATATAATGTATTAATATCCAAAAACAAAAAAACGTAATAAACCAATTTATTCAGAGTTGTTGAGCAGCTACAAGAGCATCCTATTCATTCAATTGAATATCGAACAATGGGTATATCCTAATACTAAGTGGGAGATTCAACAGTTCTATAAGTGCAGCGGAAGAAGCCTTTCTTAATCATTAGCTTAAAGGAGTAGGATTCTAGATAAACATGAAACTTCTCTTCACCTACATATTATCTAAAGGGAGAGCATGCAGATCTACAACTGCATCTGAAGATACCGTTCTTGTTCATTAACTTTAAAGAGCAGATAGACCCGTAAGTTTAAATGACTGAACCATTAACTTACATGTACAATAGATCTAAAAAGTTAACTGCATCATCAACCATTGAGATGAGATTCAAGATGATTCAATTAAACATTCAAATCAAAATCGGGATCCTGGTACTCACATCAATGAAATTTTATGTATTGTTAAATATTTCCATTACCCAAAACAATTTAATATATGTAAACAGTATATTATAGAAGTTTGATTCAACACAGAATTCAAAGAAATGGGCTTTGATATTAATCATTTCAATACACCTCTCCAATTTCTTTAACCTAAAATATGAAGTGTGCCTAATAAGTATATCGTATATCCAATACGCACATGTTCGCTTTCCCATATCTATACACTAAATAGTCGCTCCAAATGCAATAACTCGCAAATCGTTTACACTTTGCAATTTTGAATTCGTTTTTTATTAATTACGGTTTGTTTTTTAGACATTAGCTGATATCTTAAACATATCTAGATACATAGTATTCTAATTTAAGGTTACCTTTTGCAGAAGTGCTCAATTAATTCATTTCATGCAATATGCTGGCTACCACAACGCAAAAAAATATATATTTATTATTAATTGGTTTTTTCTGTTTTCTTGGGACTTTTTGCTTACGGACTAGGAGCCATTAGCTCTGCTGTTAACTGGATGCATGTGCTCACGAGATGCTGCCTGATATTTGATATTTATGTCTTGCTTTACTTTGATACTATGTGTAGGGTTGGGTATATAGCTGCGTGATGTTGGGTTTATGGAGCTGCAAGGCTAGAACGGAACTCAAGTTCTATTTACATCCTAGTAAACCTAACCGGTATTTGTAAACAATTTAGTATATACCCATATTCAGATTTATATATAATGTTGTATGTGTATGTGTGTATGTACATATGTTTTTATATGTGTTGTACCTTAGCTTTCGATTTTCGATTATAAAAATATGCGTTTATGATAAAAATGAATTTCCCCAATTCACTTTGCTATATAGAAACTCTGACTGATAATAACATGAGCGTACATTAGAGACAACTACGGGGATGCGTATGTCTTTATATTTATACATATGTGTATGTATGTTTATATCTATATCTAGAGTAGATATAAAATACCGCGCTCTGAGACTTGAGTTAGTTGTATAAACTGTATGTGGATATATAAATCCGTTATAGGCAACGTATGTGTTTCGATTTCTAACAAAATACTTCAATTGTATGTATATATATGTATATATGGGATATACAATATAATATTATATATGTCTATATATAATATACACGTGTAGATGCGGGCGTTTCGTCGTTTCATAAAAATGAAAAACAACTACGCTTGGCTTTGTTAAACACTGTTTGGGTTTCGCTTCCGGCATTAAGATAATGTCCTGGCTGATGCCGCACTATAAGAACTGTGACTTGTTCGTCTTGTGCGATCTGGACTTGCTGGGATTGAGTTTGCACTTTAGTTGCGCAATGAGGTCAGAGATTTTGAGCGCAGGTCCCACTTTCATGCCCAGCAACGGCATTATATCATCCTTAGTCAGCTGCAGCAATCGCTTGCCATCGATCTTGTTGCGGCTAAACGTGTCGCAGTGTGCGGTGCAGTCGTTCACACGCAGAAACTGTGACACATCATACACGTTCCAGGTGTCCGGCATCAGCTCCAGATGCGCCTCATTCGAATCGACATCGGCCAAACGAGGAATGTACTTGCTGTTCGTAACCGCAGAGTTCTGTTTGACGACAAAGGATATCAAGAATATTAATTTCATATTGCTTAGAGGGCAGTTAGGTTGGAGGCGTGGCTGGGCTTCGAGCTGGGTGAATTGTTGATGAAGCTATGTAAGTACCAAAATAACAGTGCGTAACATAAGTTATATACAAATTGCATTCAAGTTTTGCTGAATTTTTGATGATTGTTAATATATATATATATATATACATATACAACTTATATATACATGTATACATAGGTGAGCTAGCGGGCGGACGGGCTTTGGTTGTTTAATTGTTTCTAAAAGCTATACGCACTATTATCCTACAGTACTCACCGCAATGTAACTAGTGGCTTTGCGACCCATAATTGGTGGCGCAGGAGATTTAGTAGTAGAAGATTTCTTTACCATTGTTTTGCTGGCATTGCTATTGCCGCCGCTGGCCGTCGGCGTTACCGTGTTGGCTGGAGCCCCGCCAAGTGAAGCAAACTGATCGGAGCTCGTTGTGGTAGACTGTTCAGACATGTGGCTGGTGCTGCAATCGCCATCGGCATCTTCCTCAGCCACCCCATCCTCATCCTCATCCTCCTCGACCTGATTATTCTCATAGAAGGCAGCATTGTGATGCTCCGGCTTCAGTTCCAGCTTAATGCTCAACTTCGGCAAGTGCGGCGTAGTCTTCAAGGCGATCGTGCGGGGCTTGACTGCTGCAAAGATTGTATTTAGAGTTAATAGTAATAAGTAAGCGTACATTTGGCTTAAACCTGAACCCACCTGTCTGCGTGCTATTGTCATGTTGCGATTGTTTGTTGGCAGCAGCGCCAGTTGAGCCATTGGCTCCCTTTTTAGTCTTGCGCTTTCTTTGCACTTTGGGTTTGGGGGCTGGCTTCGGCACTTGCTGGTGGGAGACGCGCGGTGGTCCCTCCAGTTTGTGGCCAACGAGCACACACCAGCCTACAGGATATATATCCGCCGACTCGCAGTCCAACCACTGATCATACTCGTCCGTCCAGCCATCAAAGTGAACCTTGAGTAGCCGACCCACAACACGCGCCACTGTGGCCACACACACTAGACGCGGATCCATCAGATCCGCACATTCCAGACTCATGCCCGCTTCAAAGCCATGATCGGGCACAATGCGATGGAACAGATGCTGGCCGGCCGCAACGGCGCCAGTGTCGCGCAGGTAACCCTCCCAGGTGAAGGTACGCGAATCGTAACCATTCGGCGGCGTCACAGCTATGTTATTTGAGTCACAAAAGCCAGCCGGGAAAATGCAAGGCGACTTCTCATGGTAGCAAAACCTGCAAATGCACATAATATGGTTTGTTTTATTTAACTCCTGAGTTTCCACTCGAAAATTGGCTCACCAATCAGACCCTGAGGCGTCCGGTTGATATGAATCGATGCGTATCATCATATATCCGAATTTGAGTACAGCCATCACAGTGGCGGGACAAATCGAGGATAGATTGAGCGGATCGACAGCCTCCAGCTTCATGCCTTCGATAAAGCCATTGGTTTTTCCATCCAGAAAGTATTCGTCAAATGTGAAATTCATTTTGAATAACTCAATGGTTGCATCATCCTCGTGCACTTCAATCATGGCCTCACGACCCGCTAAAAAATCTCATATGTCATATATGATACCATATTGAACTGTTAATGTGTTTACCCAGCATGCGTTCCAAATAGTCCTGCGGCGCAGCCAAATTGTGGCCAACTGTTGTGGCCCAACCAACTGGATGGATAATGGGCGAATCTTCGTGGCACCAGAAGCCGTCATCCGAATCGAAGTACCGCAAGAACAGACGTTTACCCACAATCTTGGTCACCGTGGCCAAGCGCACCTGTGATATGCGATCCTTGTCTACGCACTCCAGATTCAGGCCGAGTCGGAAACGCGACTGCAGACTGTCGTTGACCTTGTTATAGAAATTGGAGGGCAATGTGCGTGCGCCGGACAAACGCTCCACGAGAAAGTCCTTCCAATCCTTGTACTTGTGCTCGATGGTGCGTGGCGGTATTAAGGGCTTGCCACGCGTCGCACACCATCCCACCGAATGGACTTCGGCATTGCAGAGATTCACCCAAAAGTCGTGCGAGTTGACGTCGAATCCCTCGTAACTCATCAACGCTTTGTAGCCCTTAATCTCCAGTATGGTGGCCACCCAAAACGAGGTGGGTGTCTGTCCCGGCTGAATGACCTCAATGTTATCGCAATCGGTGTTCTCCACCTCCACCTTCATGCCCACGCCGAGACTATCCCACACCTCGTAGCCGGGCGCATGTGGAAAGCAGGTAACGGGCGCCGCATAGAAGTTCGGTTTGCCCAGCCGCGGCAGCCAGTCGTACGAGTGCATCGGATCGTACATGCGCCGTCGTATGCTGATGATCTTCTCCATTTGTGGGCATGGCGCCGGAAGACGTTCGTATTTGGGTATTTGAGGCAGATCTTCCTGCGGAAAGGCATCTCGAAACAGACGAAGTGCTTTGGGCGTTGGCGCAGCATTCACAAAAGAATTGCTGGCGGCGGCGTTCAGCTCGCTGCCGCTGGCTTCGGCCGGCGGCGCAGCAGCATCGCCAACGGCAGCTCCATTCAGTGCTGCAATTGTCTCCTCCGTGGCCATTTGCACATTATTGGCAGCTGCATCCCCGCCCAGCGACATGGGCTCTCCGAATCCGTTCAGCTGCGTTATCTTCGACTGATCCGTTATACGAAAACGATAGTTGGCATTTTTGATATGTGCCGCTTGCAGTGTTAGCTCAATGTCCGACTGCTGCTGCTGTTGCTGATGATGTTGATCCTGCGCATCCGACGGCGATGCCAGATTTGTTTCCGCTGCGCCCGTTGACTCGGGCATCTCCAGTGCAGGAGCTGGCGAGCTGCTGGCATCCATCTTGCTATTGAGCACCAGCGAATAGAGCTCTCCGCGAGCACAGGCCATGCTGCAGAAACGTCGCGACTTTGTGTAGAACGTGTGCTTCACACCAATGGCACCGCAACGTTCACAGACAGCTGCGAAGCAGAGCATTATCATTTGATAGGATTAATTGCAGAGTCGATAAAGTTTCGCAAATATCTAACTAATTAAAGCAATGCTGCTCTTAATTGCACTGAATTAGTTACAGGTCTAATGAAGCTTTTCAATAACATTTCAATAATTATATCTATGCTGCGTTACAATTACTATAATTGAAACATTTCTAGTTTAACAATTGTTTTAACAATTGCCATCTATATAAATTAATACACTGACTACATTAATAAATATATACAAATCAAATAGGACCAAGTAGCTTTGTGCATTAGACAGACATAATGAAGCTCCGAGATATTACCTATTTATACCTAGTTTAGGGTTGGTATGTAGAAATATTTGAGTTAGAAATTCATAACTATATGCTTAAGTTAATATAAATATTCAATTGAACCCATATGAGGGGTATATATGACATAATTGCTGAAACTTGGCTTTCAGCCATGATTTTGTTCCAGAAATTCCTGTGTTTCAACTAATTGTATAATATATAATAAATAAAAATAAAAATAATTGCTGTGAGCACGACCAAAATCTAAATTGAATTTTTTAATAAAAAAAAAATAAACATTTATAAAGAAAAACCTAAATCATATATAAAATCTAATTAAAAGAAAAAATTATGTAAAATGATGGTAAGTGAGAACATACCCATGCCGTCTTTCTGTATCGGTATGACCGAAGGATCAATGTTGCCCTTGTAGGCAATCGGTGTCTTGAGCACGAGTCCAGGCCGGTTCACTGGCTCAATTTTGCGCGTCTTGCGCTGGGCACGCATCGAGGAGCTGGACCCAGAGCCAGATCCGCTATTGCCAGCCTTACTGCTGCCGGACGCAATGCCGTAGGGACGCATTGCTTTTGCCGTGGGTGTGCCTGTTGCCTCCTCGCCGGCAATTAAGATGTTGGCAAAGCCATTGCCACTGCCAGATGCTCCTGGCATGCCGGCTAGGGATGTGCCGGCTTGATTTATCATCGCATGCGTGGTGCCCAGCAGCTTGTGATGCAGCAGGCCATCGGCTAACGGCACAAGCATATCATGATTCGGCATGCTGGTCATGCACGACGATGATGACTGTGAGATATCCTTATCCGACGAAGTCATAAAATCGGTGCCATCATACGAATTATTATCCTCGTTCATCATTACAAAATCATCAATGTTTATGATCTCCTGCTTGGGCTCTAGATCGGACATGCCGCCACTGGCAGCGCCATCATCATAGCCATCCTCCAATTGGCCATAGACCTGCTGATCATCATCAACGGCCGCCGAGCTGACGCCCATCAGTGCCACACCGGCATTGTTGCCATCATCGCCATCCATGACTTCGGCATAGTTTTGAAAGACGGTCGCTGCGGCGGATTGCTGCAGCAACTGTTGCTGCAGTCCACCCATATGCGCAAAGCCGTACAGATTATTTGTATTTGTGGCAATTAGCGTTCCTGGCTGAACGCCCAGTGCGGCAGCGGCTGCTGCTGCCTGTCCCGTAAAGTCCCCCCCAACAATACTCATCATTGGACTCATATCCTTTTTGTGGTATGGGTGAAGAGTTGGAGGTGTTTATCATGTTGTTGTTGTTGTTTGTGTTTGGGTTTGTGTTGATTTGGTTTTATTTTTGATAGACAGTTGCATACAGTTGACAGTTGAATGGATACGGATACGGATACAACGTAACCAATACATAAATCATAGAAAAGAAAGTAGAAGGAAATAAGTAAACGAAGTCCAATTTTTAACTAAAGCATAAACATATGATATTGCATATAAATATATGATGGGTGTTTCTGTGATACCTGACTTAAGCTAAGTTTTATGCCCTTCCACCTGTTGATGTATTAAATCTAAAAAAGAATTCAATATTTACCCTAACGAGTTAGGAAAAACTAGGCTTTAAGCTGATTTTCCCTAAAGTTGATATAAACCTAAGCTTGAAATTGCAAATTCACATAGTCTGATACAACTAAGGATTACGTATCGATAATACTATGGCTTCAAGACTTTGATTACACAGCATAAAAAACCAATAAATATGTTGATAGATCGTAAGTCTAAATATTTTATTTTTATTCAGTTAAAATATTTTCAAAAATAAGGGAACAATGGTCCCATTAGGACTTACCAAAGTGGGCTGATGTGCCATATCCTCCATAACGGATAGGCCAACGGTTGAGTGACCTAGCAGAGTCGCAGCATCCTCCAATGTAATGCGCTCCGAGTTGTATTGGCTGCTCATCCACATCATCCGCAGCTCAGCCGGATTCATTGTTTATATTTTTGCTTATTGATAGTTGTTGATTTTGTTGTTGTGACTTTAGTATATTAGTTGTTTACTATTCAGACAAATTGTAGCGTCTTTTGTTGTGGCATTTGTGAAGAGGCGATTTTGGCTGCAATGGGAAATACACACTGATCACAATACACACAAAAACACTTATAACAGACTCCTGCACTTGCTGACCATATGGACCGTCATCGGCGCCTGTTTTTTCGTTTTCTTCTGATTCTGTTTTTTTTTTTTAGTTCCGCTTCTGTTTGTTTCCTCTCTTTACGCTTTCTACGAAATCGTAATTGAAATGGAGCTGCAACAAAATCTCTGACGATTTCAAATTGCAATAAAAAATTCAAACAAATCACTTGTGGACAATTGCAAATGAGTTCGGTTTGCAAAAACCGAATTATTTTAGGCAGCTTTGGTCATTTTTATGCTTTACACTCGCTCGAAAAGTCAATGAAGCGCACCGTGCGACCAGACGACGAACGAACGAACACAAAAGAAAACTAACAAATCGTCCTCACGCATCAGAAAACTTACATTTTTAGCACACCCAATATGCAGTTTATTTATGTGAATTCGTATGATCACATTTGTTGCTATTTACTTAAACGCGTATATTAACTTTGTTGCAATAATCCAATTTTTGGCATTCTTTTACGCGCAAATTTAATGCCAGTTTTACGATGATTGGTGATGCGCAAACGCAACTTAGCCGATAGTTAGTGGTGTGTTATTGTTAATTTGTGAATCGCGTGGATCAAGCAGTGCTCTAAAACTGGTACATTTTGTTAATAGCTGAAGTCGTCGATAAATAAAATGAATGAATAAGGAAAATATGAAAACTATGTTGTTGGTGTAAAATACTAAATTATTAATCTAATAATAAAAAGCACTAACCAGGCAGCTGTAATATTTATAGAATAAGTGTGGATACCCACACATTATCGTAAGTGCTTATAAATATAAATCTATCGATATACTAATATAATTCGAAATTATCAAACACTAGTTATAGAAAAAACAATGAAAACGCAAATAAATAAATAGCCAAACAATAACAAGCGTAATATATAGGTACACATATATAACATCTATGTAAACATAAGAAAATGCCCGAAAATGCATTGCCAGAAACGATTCGTTCCACTTTGGGTGGGTGCACTTTTGGTCAACGCAGAGAGGATATTTTTCGACGATTACAGCAAACTGCGCAACAAACAAGTGATACTTACAGTGGAAAACGCGAGCTAGCAACGGAAAAGGATGATGTTGTGCAGGAATTATGTGAGGCATTGGAAGAAACACTTTCGTATGGCCTACGACAGACCTTAAATGTTACACTGACAGCCGCAAGCATCTTTCAAAATATGCATGAGATCGTAACAGGTGGCAGTGGCAGCAGCACCACTAACAACAATGAGACGACGTTCTGGGACTTCTGTGAAACACAGCTTACGCCACACGAAAAGCAACGTTACGAGGGACTCAAGCAGATCTGGACGAAATATGGACGTGGCCGCGCTTTTATACGCGCTACACTCAATGAAAAGCGTCTGATGAGTCATGTTCTTACTTGGCTCAATGACGAGGCGCAACTGCAGCGTTTCTATACCCCCTGGTCGCTGTTACTTAATGAGGAGGCGGCCAAAAAATTGCCCGAGATTCTAGACAGTCTCAAAGATGTGCTCTTTGCTCTGAACGTTGAAAATCCCGAACTTAATGCACCAAAACGTTTTTCCGTGCAAGCGGTTGGCATTGTCAAGGAGGAGCCAATCATCTATGCACCACAACCCGTGCCTGTGGCAGCACGCAGGAAGGGACGCTTAGCAAATGCTGTAAAGCGGCCAATTGTGTGCGCCAGCTCTACAGAGGACCTACTGGGGGCACTTACTCCTCGAGAAATGCTTGAAGTTCAGCAAATAACGTCGAGAGATGCAGTTGAGCAGGAATTGAAGCAGGCAATGGCAATAGAACCCATTTGTACTACGCCATGTGATCCAATAGAACCAGAATTGGAATTTCTGAAAACTCCTCTGCCCGATGTGCAGCCGATTGGCCAAGATGAGGAGCTTGTACAAGAATCTCAGGAACTGTTTGAGGACCACAGTGATACTTCCTCGCAGTGGAGCAAATCATCGTCTTCGGGCAATGGCGCTAACAGTCAGCAGACTATGCAACTGGCGGAGCAGGTAACCCAACTTACCGAACGCTGTGCACTGCTGGAAACACGGGTGGCTGAGCTGAAGTTACAAAATCGACAACTGATACGTCGTCTCACCAAACAGTTCAACGAAACGGGCATCGATCCTTCATCGTCATTCTGCTCCAACTTTCTGATTACCATTCCACATGTGAAACTTGTTAAGACCCCACGCTCAGGGTCGCATTACGTTTACGAGATGCACATTACTATGCGCCAGCGGCTGGAGCATTGGACACTGTTTCGTCGTTATAGTGATTTCAACAAGCTACATAAATCGTTGTTACGCACGCATCCCAACATAATTAGCTCCATCGAGTTTCCGCCCAAAAAACATTTTGGCAACATGAATCTTGTCTTTGTTGAGGAGCGTCGACAACAGTTACAAATCTACATGTTGAATGTTATTGAGGCACTACCACAGGTGGAGGCGTGCAAGTCGAAGGCGGAATTACAAAAAGTGTTCCCATTCTTTCGCGAGCGATAGCATCCGTATCATGGCAACAGACCCAAAAACAACTTTGGACCAACAACAACTTAAAAATATATAAAAGTATTTTCTCTTGTTAAGTTAATTCTGTTATATTTATTGTAATGTTTATTTACATGTATAAAATTGGAGATGAGTTTTTGAACGATAACAAAATGATATTAAATAAAATTTTAAAAACTATATTAAAAAAACATAAAATTGCTAATCCTAAAATTTTTTAAATTAAAGATTTATCAACAAAATATATTATTCATCGACTGTGGATACCCCGCTTTATTGTAAGAATTTCAAAAACAGTAAAGTACTCGTGTATCCGATGACTCATCGATATATGTTTAATTTTTTAGAATTTCAATCGATAGAGTTTAACTTGGGCGATTACCAATCGCAGGCCCGCTTGATACCAAAAGGAACAGCTGTATTTGTTATTATCTGTTGTCATAATATTGCGTGTACATTTGTGCCCACCGTTTGCATCACTTTAGGAGAAAATGATTTTCTGAGTGATGATCTTTCGCCTGTTGTGCGGTCAAACCCATAATTTAAGTCTGTGCAATCAAAACCATACATTAAGCTGTTGCCATACAAGTCTGTGCAATTGATTTGCCTGTAATTTTAATCTAATTAGTGCAAGTGCAGCATTCAACATGTCCACGACCGCAATAGCGATCATCGGCTCAATATCTGTGGGTGCGTACCTCATGACGGTACGCATGATACCCCGTCTCCGTGAAATGTTCATCAAGGCGAATTTGTGCGGCCGAGATCTGTGCAAAAAGGACAAGCCACAGGTGTAAGTAATGCTGTTACATCTGTTCATATACTCTTAATAGTACTATTTGATTTTTTTCAGTCCCGAGTCCTATGGCGTAATTATTGGCTGCGTGTTCTTGATCTCAATGTTTCTCTTTATACCCATACCATTTGCATTTGACAAAGATGCCGCCACGGATGCAGTTACTGGCGGTAAGCCGGTCACGTTTCCCCACGATAAGGTGATTTACGATGAGTCAATTCAACGAAGAAAAACAAATTACTTTATTATTATCTTTCGGAACAGTTTGTGGAACTAATTGCCGCTTTGTTATCAATATGCTGTATGATATTTCTTGGCTTTGCCGACGATGTGCTCGACTTACGCTGGCGGCATAAGCTTCTGCTGCCTACCATAGCAACATTGCCTTTGTTGATGGTCTACTATGTCAACTATAATTCTACGACGGTCATGATGCCCAACTTTGCACGTGGACTCTTTGGTACATCAGTTAATATTGGTAAGGATTTGGTTACCTACATATGTATATGTATATGCGTGATTTAATAACATTTTCTTTTTATATTACAGGCATTTTTTATTACATATTCATGGGCAGTCTGGCTGTATTCTGTACGAATGCCATTAATATACTCGCTGGCATCAATGGCCTGGAGGTGGGTCAATCCATTATCATTGCCGGTTCAGTATTGGTATTCAATCTAATGGAACTCAGTCTGGGCCATCAGGTGGAATCACATCAATTTTCTCTATACTTTATGATACCTTTTTTTGCTACATCTTTGGCTCTATGGAAATTCAATAGGTAAGTGGACAATTGAATGAAAAAGATTATTCTAATCAATTTAGTATACATTAGCAAACATTTAAAATATTTATTCAATCAAATTTGATTTATTTCATAAATTAACTGAAATTAAATTTGCTTATAACATTTATTCATATTATGAATCCGCATACCTAAATTACATATTTTTAACTTAATTCACAACAGCTAATTCCATGAAATTTGAGAATCGTTTTTAAATTCTTTTCTAGTTTAGTTTCTTATCACAGATCTGTCTGTCTGTCGGCACTGTCTGCCTGCTGAGATACTAAATTTTGAATAATTTTTATGAAAAATCAGACGATATAAATATTGTATATATTTATATAATGATGGCGATATGTTCGATATGAAGAAACAAAATCATGTAAGTTCGGTTGATGATTGGGAAAGCAGGCACATATACCTATATATGTATATATATATAGCCGAATAGGATAATGTATGTTTCTTAGTCTTCGTCCTCCTGCACATCGTCCAGTGCATTCGCATCATACAAATTGACCAGCAATTGTCCAAATTGACTGCTATAAAGCAGCGCCGTCGGTGGCGCATAATATTTCTCACTCTGTTGCCGCAAACGCAGCAACGTGGTGTGGCCATCCAGCAGGATGCCAGCTCCAATCAGCTTCTGTATATAGTCAGCATCGATGCGTGAACTCCTCGTTTCGTTGGGCATTCGTATATTTGGGCTATTCCCAGTTTCTTTGGCTGTCAGCATCTGAGCAATCTGTTCAGGCGGCATGCATAGCTCACAGCTCCAGCCGCCAAAATGATTGAGGTCGCCCAGCGTATAGGCCGCCTGTCGCTCCAGCCTTTGCGGATCCATTTGGGCGTTGTGCAGATGCACGAGGGAACTAATGATACCGTCTAAGCGTGCCAGCTGCGGATGCTGCCAGTAGAACCCGTAGACGTTGTGCTTCAGCCTAAAGCGCAACGGCAGCACATCAGTTGCAAAGTATTTAAGATATTTCAAGGCCGCTGGCGCATAAACAGTTTCCCCATTGCCATACAAAAGCAAATCCGTGGGCTGCATTTGCACCCCGCAACGCGCCCATAGCTGGTGACGAAAGTAGCTGTAGGCCGCTGCACCACTGCAGTTTCCAGGGTTCTGTCCCTCTTCACACTGATAAACCAGGTAACTGGGAATGGGTATCGCGTCCAATTGGCGCTCGAGCGTGCGCTGTTTCAGTCTATCCTTGCTGTCCCTGACATAATAATAGATAAGAAATGTATCCACAACCTTGATAAGTGTGCGCAGCTGCAGTTCCAGCAGTTCCATATTTATATGCTCCCAGGCACCTAAGTTAAGTATATAGTAAAGGCGTTTCAATGACGTACTGCTCGCCTCATGCAGCTTCAATGGCGCCTCGTTGCCGCCTCGCTTGCTGGCCCGACTGTGCGTCATCAGTGCTCGCCATATAATCTCCGGCTGTCCGCAGTCCCGTCCATGCCAGCCGCTGGCACACAGGCACTGTGGCTGTGCCAGCAAATAGTCTACGCTGTTGCGTCCCTGACGGGTTTCGTTTAGCGTGCCCTCACTGTAGCACCATAGAGTTGGAGTTAAGTCCATGTCCATGTAAGCCGGCATAGCATAATCTGCAGAGCGATTCATCCGATCGATTTTCATTTGAAAAAAATCCTGTTGATATCGATTAATGTTCTCGCTCCGCGGACAATGGGATGAGGCTAGAGACTTCTTGGCATGTCTGGCCTGGTGCACGAAATGCACACGCCCCATCTCTAGCTCCAATTTGTTGTTGTTACTAGTGGATTGCAGTTGGAGCTCATTGTGATTGCTCTGCAGCAGCCAAATGCAGGCAATGAAACACACCTGCACCAGCACCACAGACCACAGGACAAGCCTTTTGCTATTCGCCAGACGGCCGCCGGCTGTTAGATTTTGAGCCGTGCTCCTGGTCATGGTGTATGATTGATACTACACACTGTACATGCTTATTCGATTTGTATTTCTGCTTGCGATTTTTGCCTTTATGAATTTTTTCTTGCTTTTTTCTTGGCTAACACACCCACTTTTCACACATTGCTGCCCACCCGCACAGCTGTCGCTGGCCTTTTTTTTTTTTTTTTTTTTTTTAGCAATGTCTGCGTTTCTCAGCTGTTCAATATTGAGCACGAATAGAATGGAAATTTATTTCGGATTTTCTTTGTAAGCGACAATCAACAAAATTTAATCATACTTTAATTTTAAACACTTTTGGCATTTCAGTTCATGAGCAATTGGTAATTTCTCACAATTATAGTTTGTACTATTGTGACGTCACTCATTTACTCGTTATATACATGCTCGCCCTAACGATACGTACAACCTTCGTTTACTATATACACTCTTCCTCATACATAAAAATACATAATTGTACTTAAAAGAAGATTGTTTTAGTAAAATTGTACTTTTTCATAATGGTACAAATTTTTAGAATAAATCGAATTAAGGTCTAGTTTGTTGTTTGTTTAACATATCAATTGGTTTATATGTTATTTTTATATTTTTATATATTCTATGTGGCCAGTGTGACCTTACTTTATAACTGATCGTTATATTTGAAATGTTTTCCTTTTATTTACTTGCAGATATCCATCACAGGTTTTTGTGGGCGATACTTATTGTTACTTTGCCGGAATGTCCTTCGCTGTGGTTGGCATTTTGGGTCATTTTAGCAAAACGCTCTTACTCTTTTTTCTGCCTCAGATACTAAATTTCCTGTACTCAACCCCGCAGTTGTTTCACTTTGTACCCTGCCCGCGGCATCGACTGCCCAAATATGATGCCAAAACGGATTTGTTGCACATCAGCACAACGGAATTTCGATTGAATGAACTGGGTAGCCTGGGTCGATTGATGGTTAAAGTACTGCGCACCTTCCGTCTGATCAGCTGGCAGGAGCAGCCGGATGGACGTATCATCACCAACAATTTCACGCTCATCAACTTTGTGTTGTTCATCTTTGGACCGGTGCATGAACGGATTGCCACTCAAATGTTGATGTCCTTCCAGCTGTTGTGCACCTTGTTGGCCCTCTTCATACGCTATCCACTGGCCAACTATTTCTACACCCTGGAAACATAGCAAGCGTTCGCCTAGCATACATATGTCGATATATATATATATATATTTAACATAGTTTATGTAAATATAGAACACAGTTCCCAAAACTAATTTAAGTACGATATATTTATTACATACAAAGCGAAGTAATAAATTAAAATTATATTATGAGCGTTTCAGAGGGGTCTGACGAAACCGAACTTTCCTTTCCCGATGAAGAAGATGAGGGACCAAATATCGGAGTAGGTCAAATGGGTTCTTTCGTCTCTCCGGCTCACACTCTTTTCTATCACCATTCGTTTTCAGAAATACATAGGCGGACGCAATGCGGCTGGGCAGCGTCATGGACGTGGCTGGGCTATTCTACCCAATGGTGATCAGTACGATGGCAATTATCGCAAGGGACGACGTCATGGCATCGGTCTATATGTCTTTAAGAATGGCGCTCGCTACTATGGCCAGTACCGCTGTGGCGTTCGCTGCGGCCGCGGCATATTCATTTATCCAGATGGCTCCGTCTACGAGGGCAACTGGCGCAGGAATCTGAAGCACGGCAAGGGTCGTTATAATTATGCTATTGGGGACACTTACTCGGGCGATTGGTATAAGGGCTATCGCCATGGTGTTGGCATCTACAGCTTTAAGACCGAGAAGGACAACTGCTGTATGACGGTACGTCTTAAGTCCACTTGGAACAGCAATGTCCGCATGGGACCCTTTGAGCTGTATATTGGCAACGATGATAAGTGCACCATTCTACACGGTCTCTGGGACAATCTCTATCCCAATGGACCGGCTGTGTTCAGCTTTGATAATCGTTACATGCTGCTTGGCTATTTCTTGCCGGGCGACTATAAATTCAAAGTTATTCGCTCATCCGCGGATGTAGAGGAGGACGAATACAACCAGGAGGACGAAATTGCAAATGAAGAGGACCAGCCCGAGGAAATAAAGCCTACATTGTGGTTCGCCCAAGAGATCGCTGTCTACGACTATTCTCTACTGCCGCAAGAGCCGGTGCCATTGCCTATCTCTGACTCTGAGCTTTCGGTATGCTCGATCACCTCAGAGGTGAGCACACTCAGCCAGGAGAAGTTTAGCTTTTATGGCGAGGGCGAAGAAGCCGAAGACGAAGGCGAGGAGTTCGAAATGGAGTGCTTCCCATGCGAGTGTGATTATGATCTCAGTGAAGTGGAAACTGAGTCCGAGCCATGCAAGATCGACGCCAATCCCTGTGCCATCGAAGTGCTCAAACAGCCCGAATGTCCCGAACCCTAGATTGAAACTATTCCCATATTATTGTTTGTTCAGCTTTCAAATATACTGAGTATCCGTGTAAAGTATTTGAATGGATATAAACTCCATCATCAAATATATACGATCGTTTGGCATTATGCATCCCATAGAAATAGATGTATGTGGGGGTAAATATTGGTAATATATATATATAGCATGTCTGAGTTGTGCACATCAAGTTAACAGCTAATATTTTTATTATAATAGAAATATATTTGTGTGTAATTTTGTATGGTTGCTTTATTTACCATTTCAGGAATTCAATAAAATTTGTTTTATATTTTGTTTAAAAATACGTCTGCATATATTTAAGTAGATTTAATGTGCTCTCTATAAATAAATCGCTTCATATGTTATTGATGAAATCACAAATGGGGGCTTTCCAAGTATTATTGACATTATTGATGATACCTTCGACACGAGACACATTATATATATTTTTTTCTCTAATTTTTACTATTATTTAAATCGCATGACTTGTTTTTTTTTTTTTTTTTTTTTTTTTTTTTTTTTTTTTTAAGTGGCTTTATTTCATTTTTTTCAGCATTTGAATTCTTTAAGTTGCACTAATTAATTCTATACGCAATTATTGTTTGATGCCTTCATCATTAAACACATTTGAAACATTAACACTTCAGTTGAATGTGCTTTCAGGGTCCAATCATTTTGTTTTTGCTTTTTAAATTATATATATTAAAATTAATAAAATCTCTAAGTGGTAGCAGGGGTTGAAGGGGTAGCATTTGCGGTCACATAGGATGATGCACAGCAGCTGTCCGGGCTGCTGTCGGATTCACATTGTTCTGTCGAGACTGCCACTTTGGAATCCTTGCTTTGTTCGGTGTTCATCGGATGATGATTTGGAAATAGCGCGGCCCCGTCACCGTCCTCCTCAACGATGTTGAGCTGATCCTTTGGCAAGTGCAACATCGTCAATGAGGTCTCATCGACTGGATTTAGATGAACCATTTGATGTGGCTCACCGTCTGTGGTGAGTAGCTCGTGCAGTGTGCTACCGTCTCGCTGTTTGGATACCTTATAAATAGCAGGACACGATTTGGAATTCTTAACATCGCTCGCATCCTTCAGTTCACCCATCTCCACATTACTAATGCTATTCTCCTCCATCAGCTGCGCATTCTGATTGTTATCCTCAATACTGCAAGCAGCTAGAGCAAGGGCCATGGCAGCTGCCTGACTGCTGCTCGAGCCCTCTGGATAAACATTTAATTGCGATTTGCTAAAGAGCAACAGATGCGGATCCATTTTGAAGTCATGCAAATCGAGCTTCTTCTGGTCCAGATTCTCATCAATATAGTTAATGTGTATTGGTGAGGCTTGCAGATTTAGCTCGGAGCTCTGGAATAATTCGTCATCTGGCGGCGTGTAGTAGACGGAAGCCTTACTAGCCGAATTGTTGGCGGCTTTCAGTGATTTGATTTTCTGTATGTGCAGTTCCTTCTCCATTTGGCTCTTGAAGTAACAGTCTATGTCTGCAAATATATGTTCATGTATTATTGAGTTTCTTATCATAAATATAAATATAATATTTACCCTCGACAATGTCTTCTTCGCAGCGTCCGCGGCAGTTTTCAAAGTAAAAGCTGGGCAAATTTTCCAATACCTTGTTCAATGATTGCTGCTGGTACTTGTAGCCCTCACGTAGTCGCAATACCTGATGGGCACTAAACTTACGGATCTTATTGCGCTGGAAGACATAGTTCTCGCGCACCCAACTCAATTGGCCAGTGGAATAGTCGCGCACCTTCTTCACCTGATCGTAATATTGATCTTTTAGTGCGGTCAAATGATTAGAGCCCATGTCACGGAACTCTTTGACGTGCTTGGCCTGTGTTGTATAGCTGCTCTGTATCCATTCCACTTGTAGTGCACAATTCTCCCGTATGCGATGCACTTGTTGTGCATAATTCTCACGCAAACGCTCCAACTGCTGGCTCTTGTAGTTCTCAATGCTATCCAGCATGGCATAAATTTGCCGTGATCGTGGTGACCTTTTATTGCGATTCGCACAACAGCTCAAGCGTTCACAGAGTCCACAGCGCTGTAGGCAGCTGCGTAAGCCTTGCACCAAAAGTGTTAGCAACAAAAATGCCGTGGCAAGTAAAGTACCCGCCAGAAGGCTTTCAATTTTAACGCGATAAAATACAATGGGATCGATGTAGAGTCTGTAAAGTGACATATGAATACAATTAAATGATCGGCTATGATATGACTTGTATATTATATGCATCGATTTATACTACCTAATGCCTGCCGATGAATTCCCCATCACATTAAAGGCGTAGCAGGTGTATAGGCCACTATCACCACGCGATATATTGTGCACGAGCAGCGAGCCGTTCTCAATGAGCACCACGCGCTGACCCACAATCGTCTTCTGTCGGCTGATGTTCATGTGCAGCGATTTGGTGTTGCTGTCATCCGTCAGGGCAAACAGTTCAAACTTACTCGGCTGATGCTCTTTGTCGCTGTTGATGATGGTGGGCCGTTTGTCGGGATCGGCATGATGCCGTAGAATCTTGTGGCGTGGTGTCACCTGCAAACAGCAATCCAAATTTGGCAATTAACATATGATTATTATTATTATTATTCAAGTACGCGTTACCCAAATAATATCTGGAGTAGGACTGCCATAAACCATACACTCTAGCTTGGCTGTGGCATGCAACCTGTACATCTTGGGCTCTGAAGATTGCACCACAACTGGTACGGTACAATTGAGATTGCTTAACACGCGCAGCATGTCGCCGGGATAACCGTATTGGCATTTCAGTGCATCAATCTGGTTATCAATATGCTCATACGAGTCCAGACTGCGACTGGCATTTGGTGTTGCCCGTCGCAGAGAGGTCGTCGCATTTGTTAACCAGTTGGACAGCCAGTACATGCTGCAGTCACATTGATATTCATTGCCCAAGATGTTCAAATAGTGCAGATGGTTTAACTCTTTGAGGCCTTCGGGCAGTGAGCCCAACCGATTGCCACGTACACTCAGCCGCTGCAGACGCGACAAGCTGGCAATCTGTGGGGGCAACTTGGTAAGACTATTATCGGCCAGCAGCAGTTCGCGCAGATTGCGCACGTTGCCAAACAATGTGGCTGGCAGCTGAGTGAGCTGCAGATTCTGTTGCATCGATAAGTAGCGTAGGCGTTGCAGTATTTGCCCATCTACGTAGTCCTCGTCGCGCGAAATCCAATTGGGCAGTTCTTCGAGCGGCGTCTCATCGATGCGCAGCAACACCAACTTACGCTGCGCCTGAAAGAGTCCGTCAGGCAATTGCTTGAACTGATTCCGGCTCAAGTCCAGTTGCTGCAATGAGCCGAGTGGCTGGAATATGATGGAGGACAGTACGGTTAGTTCATTGCCAGATATATTAAGAGTCACCAGATGTTCCAGAGACTCAAAAGCCTTGCGATCGATGCTTCCCAGCTCATTCTGTGACAGATCCAGAATTCGCAGCTGGCGTAGATTATATAGGCTGTGCTTGCCTAAGGACTTCAATTGATTTCTCTGCAGCAGGAGCTGACGCAATTGATTGTTGAGTGCAAAGAAGTTGTCCGGGAATGAGAGCAAACGATTATTGCTGAGATCCAAGTGGCGCAGTTCACGTGCCGTCTGGAAAAGCTGAAAGGGCAAAACGGTCAACTGGTTGCCCGAGAGATGCAGCGACTCCAGCTGAAGTGCACCCTCGAATGTGTTGCGTGGCAGCTCGATCAATCGATTATAGCTAAGATTCAGCAGTCGGAGCTCGCTTAGGTGCTGCACGAACTGCACGGGTAAACCGTGCAGCCCATTGCGATCCAAGTGCAGCTCCAACAGATGATTCATATGCTGCAGTTCGCTCAGACTGCAATTGTGGGCCAAGCGATTCCCACTCAGCTTAAGTACTTGAAGACGTCGCATCGCCTGCGGCTGCGCCCAATGGATGCAGCTAAGCAAATTCTCACTAAAGTCCAGTGATTCAACCGATTCGAAGCGTGTCACATACTGCACAAACAGCCGTTGCAGTGTTTCATCGTGTAATGAACTAACCGTCCATTTAAATTTCTGTATACTATCATATTGTTGCAATTTCAGCGGCACTGCGTCAGCATGGCCCGGTACATGCATCAGCGATATCTGCTCATAGTTCATCTGGCTATTGAGCTGCAGCTGGGCATTGATTTCAGCTACGCTGACATTTTGACAGCGCAGCTTTACGATGCTGTTGGCAGGATCACCTTCCTCAGAACTCTCCTGCTCTTGGTCCTCCTGTTGAACATATAATGTCTGGGCTCTATTATCCAACAGCCAGGCATCATCGAGGCTATAGCCATCGTCCACATCCGAGTCCACAGCATGACCGACAAATGGCAAATGGAACTTGTAACCCAGCAGCGAGAACTCATGCTCCTGCCACGTTCGTATCGGCACCAACTCCTCCGCTCCCTTTACAGCTCTTCCCGGCGACTGCAGTGTAGCGTTCCTCGAACTGTAGACGGTGCTGCAACCAGGCTTATAGTTTGGCACATCAACTGTGACAGCGGCGACGACGACAGCATTGTAAACAAACAACGCAGCCAATATCAAGGATTTCTTGGATATTGTTTCCATTTTTCCGTGTACAATCTCAAAAACTTATATGGCATTATATGTGTCTCATCGTTCGATCGCATAGTACACCTGTGAATACAAACATCAAATAGATTAATTTGACCGCTATTTATAGCTACATTTAAAATTAGTTTACCTAACAAACCATGTAATTACCGTGAAGGCGTCTCGAATGAGTTACATCTTTTGTACTACATTTTTTTAGACTTCCAAGAAAGTCGCAAAGAAAAGTTTTCACTTTTTCCTGAAGGGGAATTCATGTATTTTCAGAACAAAAAACAATGTACTAACCATTATCTCAGTCATAAAACCTTACTGTTTAAACAGCAATTAAAACTGCCTAAATGTAAAGTGTTCAGAAGACTCACTGAATCAAAAAGTCTTATCTCCACAATAGCAAAAAACAAACAAATTTTTATCGCTCTTTTTTATAGGCTTTTGAATGGGAAAAAGATTTTGAAAATAAATAAATCAATAAAATCGTAAATATATTTCAAACTAAACTATAGCTGATTGAAAAAATATATTATGTATATTTGTATTAATAGATTTCACATGGCTTTTGTGACAAACGAAATCGATGGGATTTTCTTTTTTTAATAAATCCAATAGAAATTCTATTGAATATAACATAGTTTTGAAATATTTACGAATAAACTTTTGCTAATTAGAAATAATATATGTACTTACATACATATGTATATGTATAATAGTTTTCCTTTTTCAGTCGTGACAGTCAAAGCATTATCATAGCCGTCTTAAACATGCATAGGGTATACATATGTATATAAAAAAAAAAAAAAAACAATAACTAAATGCTCATCGCATGCGAAAAAAAAATGACAAAAAAGATAATAATTAAATTAGCTTAAGCAAAAACAAATTCCAATGGACGTGGCTATGCACAATAGTTAAAAACTTCTTTCTTAATTGCCTATACCTAAGGCCACTGAAATCGTGAAATCAAACGTCTCAGAAAATATTACAGCACACTCACAGAGTATTGATGAGCTTGAGTACCAAGTATCTTTTTATGTGTCATTTTTTACAACACACAGATATAAATCTTCATTAAAAGGTTGCATTTATTATCTAGCTAGTAGACCTGAGTCTGAGACGAAGTTATATAATAAAGAATTGAGAAAATTCATGTGTACTTATGTGTATGTATGTTTGCACCTATGTATGTAAATATGTAAAACGAGCTCAAAGAGTGCAATAAACAACCGTTGAAGAGATAATTCGTATGTGTATATTTATATTGCCTGTTATGTACAAACTTATATACACTTGCAAATTAGCAATATGAATAGATGCCTTATTTTCTGTCTCTGTGTGGGTGCGTGTGTATTTTGTATACAATGACGTCCAAAATGCCGCTAATGAGCAAAGTGTACAAATAAGAAATATGTATTTGTATTGGCACGCACACCAATGTGAAGCAAGACACGTTAGTGACGCCAGGTGAAATGGAAAAACCATTCACAAAATTAAGCTTGCGACTTCATTTGTAGCAGAAGGTGCTTTTACATTTCTATAAAGTTCTGCTTCTGATTACATTATACTGTTTGTTGTTTTGTTTTCTGGTATTGTATCGACCCAGCTGTACAAAACTACAGCAGCTGGAGTCGAGAAGTGTGATTTAGTGTGAATATGTACATGTATATACACACACTTGCGCATGATTGTGCTTCGTTGTTGTTTTTTCTTCTTTTTTCACCCTTTTGTGGCAAAATCAACCGTTTTTGCAATATTTCAAACGCATACATGTATAAAACACATATCTTGAAAAATGTATAAATATTTATGTGCCAATAGATTTATTTACAGCTGCAATAAATGCAGCACACTGTTCATAATCACCAATAAATTACACATTAAAAAAACCACTCACTGCTGCTTAACGCATTTTAGAAAAGTTGTATCCCCAATAGTTCCGACGCAGCAATTGATACTTGCTCAAAGAGGATTTTACGATGTAGTGGTGCTGCTGTTAAGTAGCAAATTTTATGTTATTCAATTGGTTAGCCTATTCTGTTATTATGTTGGAAAGTTAAAAACTTGTATATGTTATTAATTAATAGTTTTACATCGTTTATGTTTATTTTATTAGAGATTTGTAATTTATCATTATTCTTTATATATTTAGAGCTGCAAATAATTATGGTATTTCTTTTTTAGCTGTTAACACACTTTTATACTTAAAAATACTCAATATAGCGATTCTCCATCCCTGCTTAGTAGTCGATAAAAAGTAATGCAGCAATTATACTGAATTTAAATACCATCAAACAGCATGTATTTCTATTCTATTTTTGTAAGTATTTTGTATTATATTATGTATTTATATCCTTAAAAATAATCGGTGTCGATAGGTATATAATTTTGGCGCCAATGAACGGATTCAAAATTTTAAAATTGCTTCGAAAATGAATAGCCGGTTTGGATAGTTTGGTTTTCCCTTAGCTGAATTCGGCTTCTGGTCTTATAGGTATGGTGTAAATTAGCTTAAAATATATAAGCGTGTCGCAAAATAGCATTGCCATCTATGCAAATATACGCAATCGGTTTGTATAGCTGTATCAACAAACATCTAAATTAAGCTGTTTTATTTATTCCACCTATTTAAGTGTTATTTATTATGCTATATGGTCCAAGCTATCATGGTTAACAATCTTAAAATTATAAATAATGAATTGTTGTATATGTAGAAAATATAATGTCAGCTAAGAAAACAAATTCCCCGCTGCCTTAAATACTTTGGGACAATGTTTCGCAGCCAGCTGCATATAAGCTGCCTTTGAATCAATCTTCAAAGGCCATTTCGAGGAGAATCGATTCCATACATGAATTAGACGAGAGTTCTTAATACGTTCCAGCACTTCACTCGCACGTTTTGGGTCGAGAAACAGTTCGGAATGCTTCAATGGCACCTTGTAAAATTCGCTTATGCTAAATACTTTGAAGCCCTTACAACGTTTCGGATCCTTAACCATGAGTGTAACATTTCTTGTGCTACAAACCTCTTGCAGAACCCGCAGCAAGAGATTGTGTTCAGTTGAGTCGAATGCATCTTTTACCAAGGACTTGCGGAAATCCTGCAAAAACCACTTGGCAAGCTGATGTCCAAATCCTTTAGGTTCCAGGCCCAAAATACTATTGCTAATGCTCTGATTTGCCATTGAGCACGCATAGTTCAGATGCAAGTCCTCAAAAGTACGCAGCAGCATCACATCCGTATCCAAATAGATACCTCCATAGCGATAGAGCGTTAGAAGACGCAATAGATCGGACATGTGATGCATCAGAAAACTAAGTTGAATATAAATAAATATATAAGATTTAGCTAGTTTATATAATATTTTCTAACCTTGAGCGATAAAAATCGTTTAACTTAAGCCAGTCCGTAATGGGCGTATCTAGTATATAAGTCCCAATATTTAACTCTCGAAATTGTATATTTTTATAGCATAATAATGCATCAATAATAGGCGCCGGTTTCTCCAGATATGTGYGACAAGCAAACAGCACAAAAACCTGAAAATTTGGATTATGCAATGCAGCCGATTCAATGGCGCAAGCTTGATGTGCCCTCATTTCATGAATATTATAAGAAATATCTGAATATTGGCTACTTTCTGAGAAGAAAATGGTCTTTCCGGGCGTTGGCTTTGAGCTGCATAACAAAATATCCTCTATTAGAGCATGAGCTATGTTAATAGGTGCGGAGTTGTTACTTTTTGAGCTGAGGTTTGATGTAAAATTYGGAAATTTGTTTTCTAACTGTGTTTTGTTAAATGTCGATTCTGGAACYTTTCGCTTATTGAAACTTAAGTTTTGATGAGTTTTATTAAACGAATTTACATGCTTGTTGCTCTGAGCACTGGATGAAAGCATATCCATAACTATTTTCTCAATTTTTACTGTT